GCCTGGGCAGCAGCCCCTCCTCTCCACCCCCGCACTGGGCCCAGGATTGGCCCAGAGTCCTAGCTGCGCTCAGCCAATATTTTTGTGAGACGTTCGTTGCTAAATCTACCTCCTCACAGGAGACTATGCTGAGCTGTCTTTGGGTGGGGGCAGGGGTTGAGGTTACTCCTTGCACCCCAGACGACCTGATGCCCCTCCCCAACCCCCCCCCCAGCCCTGCCAGACAAAGAGGCCAGGAGGCAGGATGGCACTTTCTGCGGGAGGCTTTTACTGAGGGATTGACGGATGCTCCCCGGCCAGGCGGCTGAGGACCTGGAAAGGCACATGCGGTGGCTGTGGTGGGGGTCTCCCTCTTGGGTGGGGGCTGGCTTTGCAGATACAGCTCCCCTGGCTGACCCCTCTTTGGCACTGAGCTGGGCACACAGGTGCCCTCATGCCCGGCAGCCCCAGCCCCCGGTTCCCCCTTCAGTGGCCTGTACCCGCCCTGGAGGTGGCTGGCAGTGTAGGCTGGTGGGGCGACAGGCCGCCGGGGGCTGGCTCAAGGGCCAGGCCACCTGTGGGAGGACCACGGCCCAGGCCACTTCCGCTGCTGGCTGGGTGCTCGTGTTGGCAATCGAGATGGCTCCAAACAGGAATCCAGTAAATTAGCTTGTAGAAGGAAAGGAGGCCAGGGGCAGGGGCTACATTCTTACCATCGCTCGCTAGTGCTGTGCCATCCTTCCTCCCGCAGGCTCTTGGAGACACGTGGCAGGGAGAAGGGGTGCACGCGAGGGGCCCTGTCTGGCTGTGGGTTCTGTCTGGCTGTCTCTACGGCAGGAAGGGTGTCCTGTGGGGTGGAAGCCTCGGTGGGCCATTTGGGCAGTAGCCACGGATGGCCCGTGAGGTCTCCAAGGGACTGAAGAGGAGGAAATAAGGGGGACTGCAGCGTCAGGAGAGCCCCCCTCACACACAAGGCTCCACACAGACTGGCTGGTGGCGCGAGCTGGGGGCTCCCCTCCACCCTTCCCCCCTCCTGGAAGAGAAGAAAGGCCCATCTGCCCCGCCCAGGGAAGGGGGCCCAGGGACAGGCACGTGGTTTTGCTGGCAGTCCTCTAGGCAGGGCAGGCCTGCGGCCAGGAGGCCTGGGAGGGAAAGGCATGCAGGGCAGGCCTGCGGCAGGGCCAGGTGCAGGGGTGGGTGGGCAAGCGCTGTGGTTTCCTTCATGTGGTCCCAGGGCTCAGGGGGGGAGCAGCACCCTGGAGGACCCCAGAGCCTTGGCCCAGGATCTGGCAGAGCTCCTGGAGGCGCCGCTGCATCTTGGGGATGCCCGCTAGCTGCTGCTCAAGCCGCTGCTTCTCCTCGGTCAGGCTCAGGCGAGCGGCAGGGTCTAGCTTCTCGAACTTCCAGCCACCCTCCCCATCAAACTGCAGCAAGTGCGTGTGGTACTTCCTAGGCCGGGAGAGGAGCGGAGGCCACTCAGCAGGAGACACTTGCCTGGCCTCCCCCTCCGCAGCCGCCAAGCAGGTGGGGTGCTCCGGGCGGGGAAGGGGGACACCTACCACAGGGAGGGCCGGTGGGTGATGGAAAGCAGGGCAATGCCAGCATCCTTGGCCGCCTGGAAGATCTTGCCTTCCACATCGATGCTCACGGCGCTGGTGCACTCATCCAGGAGGGCGTACTTGGGCCTGGGGCGGGGGGGAGGGTACGGGCAAATGCGCTAGGCCGTGGACCCTCCTTCACGGAAGCCTTGGCCTGTCCCCTCCCCCCCCCGCCCCGTGGGAACCCTGACCTGTGTACTGATTCTGCTTCTTGTGGCCAGTGCTGGCTGGGCCCAGGCCGGGGTGAGGCCTCCTAATGGCCACAGGGCCCCTGGCTGTCCCACTCAGCCCCCTGGGGAACACCCAGCTCACCTGTGGTAGAACATTCGGGCCATGCCAATTCTCTGCTTCTCACCCCCTGACAGCACATCCTTCCAGTCACACACGGCCTCCCAACCTAGGCAAGGGACAAGGGGCTTCTGTTCACTTCACTAAGGGCTGGGCTGCACCTGTGCAGGGCCCAGACCCAAGGGCAGTGGGAGGGGCCGAAGAGACTGGTGGGAGTGGGTTACGGGGGCATATGTGACTTTGGAGAAGGCTGGCCCCTGGGTCCACGTGCCCTGGATGCTTATCGATCTGGAGGTGATACTTTAATAGTTAAAAAAGACTTGCAAGCAGAATTGTGTCCCCTCCAAAAAAAAAAAAAAAAAAACGGTATGTGGGCATCCCGAGCCCTAGGACCTCAGGACGTGACCTTATTGGGAGGCATGGGCTTTACAGAGGGGACAGTTAATCACGAGGTCCCGAGGGTGGGCCCCTGGAATCCAGCAGGACTGCGTGTCCTTATGTAAAGGGGAGAACTGGGAACAGACACGCACAGAGGGAAGGCCTCGGGCAGACACAGAGAGATGACTGCCGTCCACGGGCCGAGGACACGGGCCTGGAACGGCTCCTTCCCTCCCGGAAGGGACCGACCCTGCCCACTCCCGGCTCTTGCCCTTCCGGCCTCCAGAACGGGGGCACGAGGTGCTTCGGTTGGTTGAGCCGCCCGGCCTGTGGTACCGTGCCAGAGCAGCCCCAGCAGATGCCCGCAGGACCTAAGAGAATGCTAACGAACAGCCAGCCAATGCTTCCATCCCCAGGCAGCAGACAGTTGTGGCAGAGCCCCAGGGATGGCTGGTGGGGTCTCTCCAGAAGGCTTCTCACCCGCAGGGACCAGGTGTTTGTGTCACTGCCTCAGCAAGTCTGAGCAGAAACGAATCCTTACGTCCTACCTCTGCTCCATCTTCCCATGGGACTAGAAGTTTTGTCAAGGCACAGGGCCACCCACAAAAAAGACTCTACTCCATAGCTTGCCTTGAGGTGAGGTGTGACCATGGAACTGAACTGAATTCTGGCCAATGGGGTAAAAGTGTGTTACACATGTGTCAGGTTTTGGAACTTTCTTTAAAAGACAGATGGCGGGTACCCTTGGCTCTTCCCCCTCTTCCCCCTTTCTCTGTCCCATGGCCTGGGATGTGATGTGATAGCCGGAGCAGCCATCTTGGATCATGAGGTGACTTTGGGGATGGAGGGCCCACATAGCTGAGTGACCTGAGGGGCCTTCACAGAGCTGGGCTGCCTCTGTCAACTGTGGCCTGCTTTGCTCAGGACTTTTATGTCACAGTAAGATAAACTTGTGAATGACGTGATGTGAGCCGCTGTTGTGGGGAGGGGGTTCTGTTACTCCCAGCTGAACTCAATGCTAATAGGTTGTGACGGTAGGCCCCAGGGGCCCAGGGCACTCCTGGAAGACAGGAGGAGGGGTGCACTCCCGGGCACAGGGTAGCTGGTCAAGCTCCCCCCAAGTGAGGGAGGCAAGAAGTTAAACCTGCTTTTCAGATTTCACTAAGAAAATTGAGTCCAGGGGCGCCTGGGTGGCTCAGTGGTTAAGCGTCGGCCTTCGGCTCAGGTCGTGATCCCAGGGTCCTGGGATCGAGCCCCGCATCGGGCTCCCTGCTCCGCGGGAAGCCTGCTTCTCCCTCTCCCACTCCCCCTGCTTGTGTTCCCTCTTTCCCTGTGTCTCTCTCTGTCAAATAAATAAATAAAATCTTTAAAAAAAGAAAAAGAAAAAGAAAATTGAGTCCAGCCCCACCTTGGTTTGCCCCCACCCTGCAGCTGGGCCGCCCTCCCCTCCTCCCCCTCTCCGGGCACAGCAGGCATTTGCAGACAAAGCTGATAAGCCCCTGACCAATGCCTTCTCTTGCTACCAGCCCGTCCCTCCAGTCCTGCAGTCTCCTTTCCGGGGGATGGCACCTCCCAGGCTCGAGCCAGAAACCCAGGCATCCCCTCTGGCTCTGTCCTGCCTCCCATGCTAGAGGCTCTCTGCACACACATCCTGGGCTCACCTTCTCCCCAGCTGCCCTGCCCATGCCCAGGGTCTGTCCTCTTGCTAAGATGTGACACCGACCCGTCACTTCCCTGCCTAAGGCCTTCCGAAGGCTTCCTTCACTGTCAGGGAAAGCCTGGGCTCTCCCTGCCTGGCCCACAGGGCCCTCCCTGCCACTGAGCTCCAGAGCCCGGAGAGGGTGTCCAGGACGAAAATGAGTGCCCCCTGCTGGACACCTCCTGCTGTGCCTGGCCTCCCTGGCCTAGGGAGCTCAGGGCTGCCCTGATGGGTGGGGCTTTCCTGGGCACCTAGCACTTTGGACTCCTGGATGTCGGGGTCATCTTCACCCCTCGGGGGCCAAGAGGGAGGCAGGGGCGAGGGTGACAGCAGATTCCCCCGCTGAGTCTTCGGACAAGGGCAACCAGTCTAGGGCTCCCTCCCTGGCCACATCCTCCCCTACCTCCTTCCCGCTGCAGGATGTGGTTCAGGTGCACAATGTCCAGAATGGCTTCCAGGTGCTGCTCCGAATAGCCTTTCCTTCGCATGTCCTCCACAGAGTCTGGGTAGATCACCTGGTCCCGCAAGGAGCCCACGGACATGTAGGGCCTGCCGGAATGCCACACGTCAGCAAGGGCAGGCCTGGCCCTACCTCCCTGCTGAAGCCCTGTGCCTGAGCAGGCTCTGTCATGGGCCCTGGCTGCCAGGGGGGCAGGGCCAACTCGAAGCCCGCAGACCCCACCACCAGCCCCCCTGCATGCACACCATACACTGTGCACACACCCCACTCCCGTCCTGCGTGCACAGGTGCACACGCACACATCAGGCACGCTCACACACGTGCACCAACACCCCCACACCGTACACCACGTGTGCGCATACGCATCACGCGGCCACGGCCATGGCCAGACGGCAGGTGGAGGCCCCGTCGCCCCTCGGACTCTGGGGGGCAGAATCTCGCTGTCCTCTCCTGATGCCCCAAGCCCTGCCATCTCCAGGGTGGGAAGGGGTAGGGGCCGGGCTCCTTCCCCGTCCCCTCACCTCTGAGGGATGTAGAACATGCGCTGCGGCGGGGGCTTGTAGAGCACGCCACCATACGTGGGCCAGAGACCGCCAAGGATCCGGAAGAGAGAACTCTTGCCGCAACCGTTGGGGCCGGTGATGAGCAGGTGCATGCCCTCTTCCACCTGTGGAGGCAGTGGTGGTACCCGGCGGGGGGGGGGGCCTGCATGGACCTCCTTCCTCCCAACTGTGGCCCACACTCGGGGCCACACCCAGGCCGGTCGGTGGGCCCCCCTCAGTCTCTCGGTAAGGGGCAGCAGGGCCTGAAGGATGAGGTCTGGCATCCAGAGCCGCAGCCAAATACCTGTTTTGGGTCCTGGCCTGGCCCCTAAGCCCCTGACATGCAGCGGAGAGCGTGGGGCCAGCATGAGGAAGGCCCCAGAAGGCCCATGTCGCCCTCTCTCCCCTGCCGTCCCACGTCACTAGGACTCCCAGTGTCTTCGCTTCCTCAGCAGAGTTGCTGTCCCTTGAGGAACGGTCCCGGGAAAGGTGCTTTCTGTCGAGTTCTAGGTGGACAGTACAAGCCCCCAACTCTGTCTGTTCCTAATGCCTGGCCAATCCTCCTGCCCTCGTGGGCCTCTCTCTGTCCCCACAGGTACGAGGGTACTGGGCAGGTGCCTCTGTGACCCCTGGGCTCAGCGTCAAGGGCCTCAGGCTCCCCAATTAGCCGATTACATGGTGCCCGCTGGTCTTATGGAACTGCCTGCTGTAAGAAAAAGGCCAGCTGAGCTTGGGGGGGGAGTGTGCAAGAAGGCAGGGGTCAGAGGGCAGGGCACCTGGGGCACAGCCCCCCTCCCCCCATCGCCATGTTGAGTTCCGCTCTCTCAGGGTGTGACAGCAGCGCCAACACTGTACCGTCCCCACGAGGCCGGAGTGAGGCAGTGTTATGGATCGAGTGGTGCCCCCCAAGACGCATGTTGGAGTCTTGACCCCCAAGACCTCAGAATGTGATCTTATTTGGAAAAAGAGACTTTGCAAATGTAATTAGTTAAATTTAGATGAGGTCCGGGCCGCCTGGGTGGCTCAGTCGTTGGGCGTCTGCCTTCGGCTTGAGTCATGATCCCAGGGTCCCGGGATCGAGCCCCGCGTTGGGCTCCCTGCTCAGCAGGGGGGCCTGCTTCTCCCTCTGCCTGTCCCTCCCCCTGCTTGTGCCCTCTCTCTCTCTCTCTCTTTCTCAAATAAATAAATCAAAATTTAAAAAAAAGATCCTATTAAAAAATACTTTTTTCGATGAGGTCCTCCTGGAGTGAGTGGGCCCCTAATCCAATGTGACTGGTGTCCTTATTAGAAGGAGCCATTTGGACACGGAGACATGCACACAGGGAGAAGGCCATGTGAGGGGGGCACCCAAACTCGGAGGGGGCCTGGGGCAGACTCTCCCGCAGCGCCCCAGTCCGGCCTTCTGGCCTCCAAAACGGGGGGAGGAGCCACCCCTGCTGTTTGAGTCCCTCACTGTGTGTTCCTGTTACACTGTAAACGCCCTCGTGGGGGGTGGGGGGGGCGGGCCTCCCTCCTCCATGATCGATGTCCGGGGGCCAGTGTGTCAGCACCCTGGCAGCCTCACCAGTCCACTTCCCTGCACCTCCCCCTCTCCCGCCGGCCTTCTTGCCCCACCCCCTGGCCGATCGTGACCGGGAACTGCTCGCCTGCCTTCCCCCACATCCCGCAGCCCCAGAGCCTGGCTTCCCCCTCGCCTCCCACCCCAGCTCTTCTGTCCCAATCACCCCTCCTCACCCGGCCTTGCTCCCTCACCAGCTGCGCCCTGGCGAGCCAGGGCCCCTGGTCTTTGCCTACTTGGCTGCCACTGGGCCTGCAGGGAAATCGTTCGCCTTGGATAAACCAGCCATTGGTGGCTCCCTGCCACACCCCAAGAGTGGCCACGGCCAGGGGCGACGGGGATCACAGCACTGTCCCATGCTGCCTGGGTAACGAAATGTGCCCGGCCCCCAACCGGCTCTCAGGACCCCTCTCAGCGGATCGAGGAAAGGAGCCTCCACTGGCACCACCAGGCACTGACCCTCCACTTGCCTCTTCCCAGTAACTTCCTGCCCAGCCATGGCTCCAAGGGACCCTGCTCTGCAGCCAGGCGCACGAGGCCCCAAGGCCCCCCAGCTCCATGCTCCTGCCACTTCACTACCTTTCCCCTGCCTGCCTGCTGGGGGACACCTTCTTCCTCATGCTGCCCATCCACCCTGAGGCTCCTGGGTGAAGCTTCCGGTGACCTTTACTCACCTCAGGGATGGGACCACCCTTCCTGTAGCCCCCATAGGATCCTGGGCAGCTAACTGGGGACCTTTGCAATGTTTAGGGGACCCAGCATGGGGCCTTCCTGAGGGCAGTGCCCCTCCAGCTTACCTCTGGTTCCCAGTGCCCAGCCCAGGGATGAATAAATGACTCCCTCTCGCTTCTTACACTGACCCCGCCACCGCAGGTCTCTCCTTCATTCCACCATTCCCTGACGCTGCCCAAAGCTCTGGCTAGGGACACAGGTGAGTGGTGGGGGTTGGCTACCAGGGCTTCCTTCCATTAGACAGCCTCTGTAGTGGCTGAGAGCCCTCCCAGTGGGCCAGGCTGTACCTACACTGGGGGCTTCTTGAAGCAGATGGTGGGACCCTCAGCCCAGGTCACTGGAGGAATCTATTCCACCATAGTTGGAGTTGAACCTGAGTCCCCAAGTCCTGGGCTTCTCAGGGATGGGGGTGGGAGGTGGCAATGATGAGGCCAGGACCAGGAGCCCTTGGGTGACCCTTGGCTACTCTTGGTAATCGCTAGTCATTTTTATGACTGCACTGTGACAGAACCAACAATCAGAGACATGTTGGCGTTTCACCTGGACCTTAGCCCACCTGCCAAGTGGATCTGGGGAATGACAACGTATGCAGGCCCAGCAGGCCAGACACCAAAGGTTGGGGCTTGCAGATGCAGAAGGCCAAGCCCAGGGTCCTGTAGCTCAGCCCAGCTCAGCCAACACTCCTGGGTCAGGCAACCCACCCTCCCTGGTCCCACACTTGACCTACCCTGATATTGAGGCTGGCCACCACCACCTCTCCCGTGGGTGTGATGATGGGGATGTTCTCACAAATAATTCCCTGTTCCACATCTACCACTTGGCCTGGAGAGAGAATGCAATGAGGGAACACAGGGAGCAGCAACACCCCCTCCGCCTTCTGTTGGATTCCACGTGCCCCGCCCCCCCCCCCCCCCCCCCCCCCCCAGCACGCCCGTGTGTGGTCTGGGGCCCCTTGGGAATATGGTGGGTCTTCCGTGAGCCCATCCCCAAACAGTGTCTGGTGCTGTGCTCTGGGCAGGGGAGGGGCAATGTCAATTCTCTGGCTTCTGGAACCCGAGGCATGGAGTCCACCCTTACGCTGTAAAACCCTCTGACACTGGCCCCTGCTGTGGTCTTGAACTTTCTCTTGCTGCCCACATGGGAGAGTGATCCCCTCTACTCAGGGACTGCATCTCCTTCTTTTGCAAAGAGAAATAAGAGAAATCTCGGCCAGAGCCCTGGGAAGGCACCGGCAAGTGAGGGGCTTGGCTAGCAGCTACTGCTCTGGGAAAGAAGGTTGCAGGGGCACAGCTCAAAGACCCTGCCCTCTGGGGTGGGGGTGTCTGGGGGGAGGATGCCCTTACCTCGGATCTGCAGGGGCCCCTCTACACGGACACCAGACCTGGCCACAGCCCCGGGCCCTGCCTGAGGGTCCTCCGGCTCCCCGGGCCTCTTGAAATGGCAGTGTTGGACATCTTCAAATACCTGGAACATCTCATGTACTCGGGCTGTGTAGCCAGCCAGCTCTGTCACCTGCGGGGAGGGTGACCCTGGCTCAGACGCTACCAGCTGGGGGAGGGGGGAGGCATGGCGGGGGTGGTGGTGGTGCTGGGCTGGGGGGGGTACCTCCTTGTAGGATGACATGATCCGCTCGATGGCATCTGCAGCAGCTGTGAGGAGGTTGCGGGCAATGGTGAAGGCCTCTGTGCGCTCGCTCACGAGCTCCTCCTCCTTCATCTCCAAAGCTGCCTTCTTCACTGCCTCTGAGTCTATGGAACACAGTGGAAAGGAGGGGACCGTGGAAAATCAAAATGGACTCACTAGGGGAAAGACGAATCTCTCTGGCAGATGGTGCTGGGACTACTGGGTGTCCACTTGCAAAAGAATGACCCCTACCTCACACCACCTGCAAAAACTAACTCATGTAAGAGCTAAGACTATAAAACTCTTGGAAGAAAGCAGCTGTAAGTCTTTGTGAGCTCAGATTATGCATGGCTCCTTAAATATGACGCCAAAGGCACAGGCAACAAAAGAAAAACAGATAAATGAGCTTCATCAAAATGAAAACTTTTCGGGCATCCAAAGGAACCATCCAAAAAGCGAAAAGACAACCTACAGACTGGGAGAAAACATCTGCAAATCACATATCCGACAAGGGTCTTGTAGCCAGAATATGTAAAAAAACTTTTCCCATTCAACAACAAAGAAAACCCAATGAAACCATGGGCAAAGGATCTGAATAGACAATTCTACTGTATTTCCTAGATCTCCAAATGGCCGATAAGCACATGAAAAGACACTCAACATTATCAGTCGTCAAAGAAACATAAATCAAAACCACAATGAGATACTACTTCACACCCACTAGGATGGCTGGTGGGGCTGTAAAATGGCGCAGCCCATGTGGAAACCGGTCGACCAGTTCCTCAAAAAGTTCAACAAAGAGTTACCACGGGCCCCAGCAATTCCACTCCCGGGTATGTATCCACGAGAAACAAAAAATACACGTTCACATGAAAACTTGTACACAGGTGATCATGGCAGCACTATTCATAATCATCAAAAGGTGCAAACGACCCAAATGCCTATCAGTGGACAGATGGATAAAGAAACTGTGGTACATGTATATGATGCAATATTATTTGGCCGTAAAAGGCAGTGAAGTGCCGATTCACCCTACCAACGTGGATGAACCTTGAAAACGTGATGCTGAGTGAGAGAAGGCCGACACCAGAGGCCACAGATTGTGTGATTCCATTCATGTGAAATGTCCACGAGAGGCCAACAGTCCACAGCAAC